TTGACTAACTTCTTAACTGACTGCTTTTTGACTAACTATTCTTTGACTAACTACTCACTGAGTAACTGCTCTTTGATTAACTGGTCTTTGACTAACTGCTCATCCCCCCCCCCCCCAAAACCAGGGCAGTGCTACTGACTGAAGTGTTTTGAGGCCAATCCCAAAGGTGCGGGGGGTATTAACATGTTCTTATTCCCAGTAGAATTGTAAATGGGCTGATTTATCAAAGTCATACTCATACTGAGTGCAGCTTTTTCTTTCCTCATCCTTACTATCGTCATTTTTCTCTCTACTTCTTTTGTATGTTTCTCACTCTCTTGGAAACTGCTATTTCTTGGGTGCCTTGATAGTTAAAGTAGACTTTTTGCTGCTGGGGCTAGAAAGGTGAGCAGAGTAAGCTTCGTTCCCCGTATAGACTTCTCTGTTGACACCCATCCCTCGGTGCTCATATCACCTTATGCAGTTGCGAGCGTCGTAAAACCTCACTAAAACTAAACTAAACTAACTGCTGATTGACTAACTGCTCTTTGACTAACTGCCCATTGACTGGCTGCTCTTTGACTGCCCTTGACTCTAGGTGGAATCTACACAGTACCGATGGGTCAAGGTGACCTTCCGCCACCCTACAGCCCAGTCCCGACGGCGGGAGAGTCTACAATCAACTGCCAGGTGTGTCAGGCTGTCATCAACCTTGAGGGTCAGCGTCACTTGACCGTGGTACAGTGTCCTACGTGCAAGGAGGGTACGGTACGTCACGTTCTCAAATTGGTGAAATAGTATAGGCTTAACGACTCTTTCAAACTACATGTATTGGCGGGAGCTCCAAGTTTAATGTCCATCTCCGAAAGGACCGATTCGAGCTAGTAAATCGGAATTTCGTGTAAAGTGGTTCTTCCTAAGCACACAAAGCCGGACTGGGCTGAGGCTCGAAACCTCTAACCCGCAGTCTCACGATTAAGGGTCAGGTAGCTTAGTGGTTAGAGAAGGGGGGGAGAGGGGGGAGAGGGAGAGATACAGAGAGAGAGAGAGAGAGAGAGAGAGAGAGACAGAGAGAGAGAGAGAAAGAGAGAGACAGAGACAGACAGACAGACAGACAGACAGACAGACAGACAGACAGGCAGACAGACAGACAGACAGACAGACAGACAGACAGACAGACAGACAGACAGACAGACAGACAGAGTGAGAGGGGGTTAGAGAGAGAGGGACAAACAGAGAGAGACAAACAGACTGAGAGAGAGAGGGGCAAACAGACAGACAGACACACAGAGAGAGAAAGACAGAGAGAGAGAGAGAGAGAGAGAGAGAGAGAGAGAGAGAGAGAGAGAGAGAGTGAGTGAGAACACGACTGTATGTGCACTGTCATGGTCACATTTCCTTGCTGTTTTTAACATATATGTGCTGTTAAGACAGAGCATCTTGGCCGCCCACATGCCAAATGTAGGCCTAGTGCAAAAAGATCCTGTTGGCAAATAGCCGAGAGGTCACGATCCTCTCCTCTGCCTGCCCTAGGCCTATATAAGTAATATCTTGTAATATTAGTAATAAGTTTTGCTACTAAAAATTGTCATTGGCGAGCTGTGACGTAGGCCATTTTTATGCAAAATGTGTGTGAGAAGCGGGAAGTGCTGTGAACAATCCCATTTTCCGCATGACGAGATTCATAGCATAATTTGATAAATTTAGGAAAAAAAGTTCTTTGATCTAGCCTAAACTGTTGTGGAAATATATATATATATATAAGTTTTGACACATTGGTACAAACATCTATGCAGAGTATAGGTGACAATAATTGACCAAGTGAAGAGATATTTAAGGATAAGTTGGGCCACAAATTTTGACTGCACTATATTTTTCAGTGTAGGTTATTAGGGGCTGTTCAAATGTAATCTTACACCTTTTTTGGTACTTTTTTTTACCCCCCCCCTCTTACACTTTTCTTACTTTTGCCTCCCCCGTCCCCGTAATAGTACATTGTTCGCTTATAATACTAATAATACGACATTTATATCGCATAAATCCGTGTCACAATCAATGTTCCACGCGCTTTACATAATACAAGCTGGGCCCCCTTTCGATGAAAGGGACGATCGGTGCTTTAATATCAACTAAAAGTCATTGGCCTACTATGTTTACACTCTACTGGAATGGGTTTTCTAAAATTACAAAAACAGAAGCGTCGACCTACAAAAGCGATCGGCGAAATAAAGAAATTTAGCTTTTTGCAGCAAAACTGTCTCTAAACTGAAAAAACGAAGGGCGCCATGCTCTGGAGAATATTTTAAAGAATCTTTTGGCGAAAACCGCATGTCGATCGATGCAGCCATTAAAAAGCCTTTTGAATAGCAAAATTCGGCCACTGCAAATAGATAATAGATTCATGAAAAACATGCATGTTCCGCGCAATTTACAGATCGGCGCAATCCGCGCATTTTAACGATCGTATAATTGTGCGCCAATCTTAAGATTGTGCTGCTCATTTTAACAATCGTATAATTCACGTCCATCTTTATTCTTTTACTCACACCAAGGAACATTCATGTATATTTTCAAAAGTGCAAACATAATATGAAAATTAAAATCAAAATTAAAATTAGATATGAAACTGAAGAGCTTACAAGAAGGATACAAGTATATATTCGTTAAAACGCGTAGCGCAATCTTAAAATTGCCCAACAATCTTAAGATTGCCAGGCAATTATACGATCGCTAAAACGTGCAGCGCACGATCTCAAGATCCGTAAATTGCACGGAACACGTACATAGATATCATACGTATGCACATAATAATATTATGCAGTTCTACTTTTATTTTAAAAATTACAGAGTAGATTATTCCAGCAAAATGTTGCATACACTCTTTCTTACTAATAAGGAAAAAATTGAGACTCATATGTCAATTTCAAAAGCGCCTTAATTACAAATAAAACAAATTACAGTGGATTTCGGGACCGAAAAGGAGTGTTGACTTTGAGCAAGGTTTACTTTATCCATTGTACCATTGAAAATTGAAGATGACAGCTACAAAATTACAAAGTACCTGGTAATAAGATGTTAGCTCAATTTAAGTGAGTATAAATTCTGAAGTTGTCACCAAAACAAGAGATAATGAGAGAACAAAATAATTGGAGGTGTGTACACCACTAGCTCTTAAATGAATTCATCTTAGGATTTAGCCCCAAATTGTTGACTTTACGCAAGGTTAACACTGTGGTTGATTGTACATGTATCAGAAACAGAACTATTTAAACAAAGAAGGTAAGAAACATGACCACAGTGAGGTGTTGACTGTAAGCAAAAGTTGACTTTATCAGGATTCTACTGCATCTGTTATTATTACTGATCATTATGCTTAAAACAAAAAGTGAAATTAGTTATCATCAACAAAGGCAGTGTTCATCATTATGTCAATATATTTTTTTTAAAGACAGGGACATCCGATGAGCTGTCTTCCAAATATGGGTCCTGTTTCAACTTCCTGCTCTGTCTCCTCTTCCCCCACCTTCATTTGTTCCTGTGTAAAGCCCTGTGCCTCTTCAATACTGCAATACTTGGAATATATTTTCCACATTCCTTGTGGCTTCTGCATACCATGCAGCCTTTCTTGACCAAGGCCACCCTTTTTTCCTTATTTTTTTCACCTCACAAAAGTGTAATATTACATTGGTTCAA